GTAGTAGTAGTAGTAGTAGTAGTAGGAGGAGTAGTAGTAGTAGTAGGAGTAGTAGTAGTAGTAGGAGTAGTAGTAGTAGTAGTAGGAGTAGTAGTAGGAGTAGTAGTAGTAGTAGGAGGAGTAGTAGTAGTAGTAGTAGTAGTAGTAGTAGGAGTAGTAGTAGTAGGAGTAGTAGTAGTAGGAGGAGTAGTAGTATTAGTAGTAGTAGTAGTGTTTTGTTTTAAACATATATACGTTAATTATATAAAACAAAATCAAACGTATATATTTTCAATGTAAAGAAACCAAGATACCAATTCAATATTTGTATTTTTTCCACTGCCTTTAACGTATGCAACATTATACACGCACACACACCACATGCACACACACACACGCACACACCACACACACACACACACACCACACACACACACACCACACGCACACACACACACGCACGCACACACACTCACACACACACAGTTTTTCAAATGATTAGGTTAACTCAAATGCGTCTCTGAACTTGGAGAAATGTGTAGACAGCTCTTTCAGGTGTTGATCCCCAGAGCTGATGACGTAGCCACATTCCTGCTTCCCGGTGTGTTTATGTGAAACAGCAGAGAGAGAGACAGCACAGGGGACTGCAGGGAAATACACAACTTGTTTTATATGATTAAAGCTATTGTCAAAGCAGAGTTTATGGACTTATTATTTTGACTCTTAGGATGGGATGTTTATAGTTGAAATAGACTAGATTTAGATTTAGAGTTTGCTCAGCACTGCTTGTTTCTCTACTCAAACATAAAGCGGATAAACATGTTTCTTGGCTTCCCGGTTTGGACCAGTCCGTTAGGTGAAGTCTGTGTGCCTCTGGGTTTGTTAGGAGTAAGGAGTAGTCGTAACTGTAAATAATTAGTAGTAGCTCTATTCTTGGGTTTCATTAAACTGGCCAGTAGGGGGCGCATGAGCAGAGGTGGGACAGTTTTGCTCCCATTGAAAACCATATAAAGTCTGTTTTGGAGTCAAAGGCTCTCCTCCTGTGCGGTGTACGGTTGTTGGAACAGTCTTAATCGGGGACACTCAATTCTAAGGGAGCACTAACAAATATTTCACAAAAGAGTCTTGATTTTGGGCATTTCTGGAAAAAAAACAGAAGAAATGTCTGCGTTTCATTGGGGTGGCCTGCAGGGGGCGCTTATCTGGTGTTTTGACAGCGCTTCTTCTTCTACTATATCTCCGTGTATGTCATTTGCGCCACTGCCCAGACGTCATATGAAACCCAAGAATACTGGACCACATAAGCCACAGAGTTATTTTGTATTAACATCCAAAATCGTGTTTATTAATTTGAACATTGATATTTAAGCTTCCAAACCCTAACTCAGTGTCTGAGGTCGAACTGGGACAACCCTGGAACGTACCTCTTACTGTGGTTGGATGGAGAATGCTTCACCTGCATGTGCCCTGGTTATAGAACAATCAACATGATATGACCAAAGTTGCAAATGTTTGTTTGTTATGCTAACTCCGAGCTTGTTTATTTTGACTTTCGCTAACACAGTGATTATGCAACGCCTGAACTCAAATACATGAAACTTTTACTCGAGTTTAGAGATGAACTTTGAAACTGTTTGGTGGAGGTTGATCCCCAGATGTTTTTCTTTTTCATTTTATGTATTTATTCAAGCAGAAATTCTTCCATTAATAAGTCATTTTATATTGTTTTTTTGTTTTTTTTTACTTTTTTCCCTATTGCACCTTCTGTATCCTATAAACATACATATATACATAGATGATACATATATTTATTGTGGTCATTATTTACAATTCACTAACTACAATACCTTGATTATTATTATCTATATACTTTAGACACATCCAGTTATTAAGACATGAATTACATTAATGTTGTGGTTTTAAAGTTAGGTACTCCAGCTTTAATCAACAGTGCACAAACTGGAAGGGGCAGCACTCAGACAGGAAAAGTTCTGTATTCATTCGTGGGGAACTTTCAGTGTTGCGTCACCGGTTACAGAACAGTAGAAATGTAGACTTTAGCCTAATAAAGAAGCAAGTATAAAATCTCTAACTTTGGAATAGTAAAGAAGCATAAGAAAAACACTGTATAATCTAGTGCCAGAAGTATATAGATGTATGTATACGTCTGTACGTGTTAGCATCACGGGCTAAAGTGATTAATTACAGTGGTAGTGGACACATGTGTTTTCGTATTGCACATTCTGACATAATCTCAAAGTATTGCACCTTTAACCAGCTTTGTTGATTTTGTTTCTCTTCAAACACTTTTCTCCGGGAGTCACCGTACGTCAGCTCAGTCTGTGAACGCAACCTATTAGAGTGTTTAGCTAGGCCGATGGCGAAGGGGCCCTCGGAGGAGACAGGTAAAGAGACAGCGGTGTCAAATTCAATCAGCGTCTCTGGTGCTTTTGTCTGGTCCGGAAGCAGAATCCGCGGGGCGCTCTCAATATACTGGACTCACCGGAGCATGCAAGGCAGACAGAGGGCCTCCTGCATGGAAAGACTGCAGCTGCATGTCGCCCCAAAGATCACCACCTACTACCACCCCCACCCCCCTCCAAGACCACACAGGGGCCTCACCCGAGCCCCCATCCAGCGAGATAGTCCAGTATTCCGTGGAAAAGGAAGTGGTTCTCTCTGCACGGCTGGCGGAGGAATGAGTTTGGAGGAGAGGAGCGGGCTGGAGCAAAATACAATGTCAACATGGCATTGTAATGAT